GTTCCAAGCCATGATATTGTTCCTTGCTCCTTATGCATCTGAAAATTGGACAGTGAATAAAAAATACTGAAGAAAAAAGCCATGCCTTTGAATTATGGTGTTGAAGAGTTCTGAATGTACTGTGGACTGCCAAAAGAAAAATCTGTCTCAGAGAAGATGCTCCAAAGTGTTCCTTAGAGGAAAGGATATGAAACTCTGTCTTACATACTTTGATTATGTTGTCAGAAGTGGCCAGTCCTTGGAAAAAAACATCATTCTGGGAAAAGTCAAAGGTCAGAGGAAGACCCTTAAAAAATTGACACAGTGACTGTGACAGTGGGCTCCAGCAAGGTGGGGATGGGCAAGAATATGGCAGGGTTCCAGCGTATTCTTCATAGGATTCCTATGTGTCATCGTTGACTCATTGGCGACAGACAACAATCTAGGGCCCTTATGTGCTAAGCACTGTCCCCAGTGTTTTGTATATATTAACTCATTTACTTGTCATAATAACTCTAGAGGAGATAGAGTTGTTTACTCCATTTTGCTAAGGGGGCTACTGAGGCAGCAAGTAGTTGTATATGTGCTGTCAAGTCAGAACAAGAAGCTGTAAATCACACTGGAGGAGTTTGGTCATCTTTCTCCCTCAGAGGAAATGGTCAAGTAAAACTACTCTCCTTTGGGTTGACAGTGTAGTTAGCTCTCTACCCACAAGGCCATCAGAGACAGGAAGAGATTAACCAAATTGCCTGAGGTCATATAACTACGAAACTGGCCATCTGGTCAGGGCAACCAGGCACCAATGACCTAATCATCATTCTCTCTTTTATTGTGGCCATTGGTCACATAAGGCATTTCAGTGTTTGAAATGTGTCTAGTCTGAAGTATAAGGTTACAGATTCTGAAGAGGTTGTATGAGGAGAATACAAAATAATAATTTTGTATTGATCACATGTTAAAACATTATCTTGATTATTTTAGGTTACATACAGTATATCACTAAAATTCATTTCACCTGTTTTTTTTTACTGTCTAATAAGGCTAATTTTAAATTGCGTATATGGCAACCTTATCTTTCTCTTGCATGGCACTGTTAAACCTCCTGCATGTTATGCCTAATCATTGTTTTAATGCTTTCCTTGAAAAAGTTTAAAAACTCTCTTGGGGTGTGGGGATATTTGCAGGAGAAACCAATTCTGGCTTTGTGAAAGCATTGAATGTGAATACAATTTTAATCACTTTCTCCTTGATTTTGTTAGATTGTACTTTTCTTTAAGATTATGGAAACAAAGTTGATGAGTGTTGATTTATTTTGTAAGTAAGGGAGAAAACTCATAAAATGACCCTGTGATTTATAAGCAAGGCTTTGACTTGAATGAGTGCTAATTGCCAGTGGCTTTTTAAAGTAATACTTTTAATTGGTTTTCATATAATAATTCCTTTACATTATGTTTCATATACATTGTATTTTATACAATTGTTGATTTATATTGTTTCATACATTCATATATATTCTATTTTACTTTTTTTAATTGGTTTGCTTGCAAAGTTTATATACATTGTGTTTTATACTACTTACCTTGGAAGAGGCTAGAGAGCATTATGTCGAGTGAACTAGCAATCTCCTAAGGACAAATACTGTGTAAGACCATTATTGTAAAAATAGAAGGATAAGTAGTAAAACATGTACAGGAATTCAAGGGGGGAGTAGGGGGAGTGAAGGGGTGAGGATAGATGGGGTGAAAACACAGGGCTGCACAGTTTGGTCAGGGAAGCAAATGGGAAGGATCTGGGCAAAGACTTGGTAATGTGGGCAAGGACTTTTTTATTTGAGACAGTCCTTGATTAACAGCTTAGGAACAGAACAGAAGATTATCAGTTTGTATCCACAATCCTCTCCATAAGACAAAGACATGATTGTCCACTTCCAAAAAGAGTATAGCTTAGGAAACTCTAAGGGGCAGTTCTGTGCTATCTGGTAGAGTTCCTGTGTGTCAGCACTGACTTGGAGGAAATGGGTTTGGCTTTTATTTTTATGTGGTTTGTGGGATGTTGGAATCTTTACACTGGACTTAGATCATCCTGAGAAAGATGGTGGCTCTTCATTCTGGAATATGCTTGTTTAACTGATTTACCTCATATTAATACCAGGGCTTGGGACATTGCTATCAAATTCTTCTAGCCCACAACAGACTTGGATATTTTTATTCTTCTAAGTGCATCCAAGGTGCTTCATGGAGACAAAGAGCCAGTCTTTGGAAAAAGACATTCTGCTTGGAAAGGTAGAGGATCAGAGAAAGAGAGGATGACCCTCATGAAGATGAATTGGCACCGTGACTGTAACAGTGGGCTCAAGCATGTCAGAGATTGTGAGGATGCAGTTTAGAGCAAGGTTCAGTTCTGTTATCCATAGATGACTGTGATCAAAGTTGACAACACCTAATAACAACAACATCTTAAAATAGGCAGTCAAATGGAATTAATTTCAGTTTATCTTTAGGAAAAAGACAATTTTAATTAATTTAGTTTGTCCCTCTGAAAACCCACCAGAGGGTCAAATACAGGCCAGTTGTAACTCAACGGCACACAACAACGCCTTTTTTAAAATTTCTTGTGTGTGTATACTGTCAAATTAGATCTGACCGGTACAGGAGATTGTCCCTCCTCCAGCAGAGCATCTGGTGGATTTGAACTGCTTGCCTCTGGGATTGCAGTACAGCTTCTTGCCACTAGGCCAGCAGAGCTCACCTACAATGATGGCTTTAGTAACAATAGGTTAATTAGTCTTTATTTTTCTATGATTACATCAAATTTATAGACCTGAAGATCTATCTCATTGTAGTAGTCTATATAAACATAAAACTGAACATTGTTTTAAAAATCCTCCAGGGAGGAGGTGGGCAGGGAGGAAAATGTGCAACGATGAATGAATGGAAATCCAAGTTCTCTATAAACTTTCATTAAAATCATAATTAAAAAAAATCCTCCAACGAACTGCATTATAGTTGTCAGACCCAACACAGACCTCTAGCAGGTTTGCAGAGGCAGTTAATTGTACAGGAGATTACCCATCTTTCTCCTGTGGAGCAGCTGGTGGACTCAAACTATATACCTTTGCATTGGCAATGCAGTTTCTTACCATATCGTTCTCAAACAAATGCTAAACACATTGCTTTGGTTATCTCTAAACTTGAGCTATAATCTATTAATAAACATCATTAATGATAATGATTTGAGAACATGGAAAATTTACCAAGACTGTGTGTGAAGAAAAAGCCTTATATAACTATCAGCTTTATTAGATGTTCATCAGCTCATTTCCTTCTTTCCTCTGTAGCCATCTTATTGTTTTATGTTGATGGTGTTTGCCCTTGTTGCATAATTTGAAGCCAAAGGAAAAAAAATCTTGGTAAAATTAACAATTGATAATAGTTGTCAAATAGCAGTCTGTAAGGAAGAATGAAATTATTTCCAACAGAAGTTGGGTTATTTTTGTTATGTACCATTGAGTTGGAACCAACCCTGCAGCAGATTTTCATAGGTGACAAATTGCATAGGAGGAGATTGATTGCCCATCTTTGTTCATGGAGCAGCTGGTGGATTCGAACCATGTGCCCTTTGAATTGGAAGTGTACCTCCTTACCACTAAGCTACCAGAGCTCCTCTAACTAAAGTGAAGAGGCAGCCAATATTAAATCACTGACATATGAATGATATTGAGTAGAAATAAGCACAAAAGTGTTGCTTGTTTCTTTTTCAGTTTATAAGTCTTACCTATTTTTAAATTGACTAGAATACATTTTCTCTTGTTCATTCTACAGATATATCTGGTATCCTACCGAAGGGACAGCTATATTTCACCTTCCCCTGTCCTCTGTTTATATGCTGATTTCCTTTTAAAAAATGTATTCCTCTTACAATGGCAGATATTCCATTGAATTATCTTGCCATTCTTTTAGTAGCAAATGAATATCCTGAACATGAATATTTTACATAAAGTTTTTTTCAAGGTCTTTCTCAGATATTTTGTATTAAGGCATGAAGGACTCTGCAGGAACTCCAAATTTCTTTCTTTTGATTAGTGATATGAATCCTTATGAAATGAGTCTGGTACTGTTTGTATTAATATGGAGGAGAAAAAACATATTTTTAGTAGTTTTATTTTGTACTACTCAGAGGTTATATGATAGACTAAGTTCCCTGAAAATTTATTTCCTTCTGTAATTCTTGCTCCTAGCACACCCAGCACTAGGAGGATGCTGCGTATGTTAATGAATTAATTCATGGGTGACTTTTGGCTGCAATTCTGCCTGGTCTTTTTGCAATTAGGGTGATTTGACAGATACATTATTTTTTTTTTAGATACATAATTGTTACAGTAACTTAAAAAATGGAATCATGATTTTCAGAGTGGTGTACTTAACAACAACAATACTTACTTGGTTACTTTTCATTTTCATTCAAGAGTCAGTACCTTTTCTAGAACTGTGAAATAGAATTGCCTGATTGCTTTCAAGGAGCTCTGGTGGGGAAGTCATTGAACATTCATCTCCTGACCAACAGTTTAAATCCACCAGCAACACCTAGAGAGCAAGACGAGGCAGTCTGCTTTCATAAAGATTTGCTGTCTTAAAAACCCTGTGGAACAGTTCTGTCCAGAGGGTTACTATGAGTTGGAAATACCTTGATGACAGTTGCTTTGGTTTGGATTTGTGGTTGCTTTAGCTCAGTAAAGCAATTGTTTTTAGTACAGTGGAAAAGTTAGTAGGATAGAAGATATCCTAACTAAATTAATTTGCTAGAGAGCAGACTGGTAATTTTGCAAGTTTTAAAGAACTCTGAGTATATCGAGGGAATATTTTTTAAATACTAAGTTTATTATACATAGTAAAATATGGTATGATACAATTTGCTGTGATTTTCTTCTCAACATCAGATATATGAAGGGTTTGATGCTATTATGTTTAGAGAAAAGAGTTTTAGGATATTTTAAGTAGCATTTTTTATCTTTTTTAAAATAGGTAAATCAACGATTTGGGAAGATGATGGTTGGGGAGCATGGGAAGAAACAGAATCTCAAGAACCTGTAAGTCTTTGTAAATGCATGCATGCTTGGTCTTTTAAAATTTTTTTGTGATTTGAGTGAAAGTTTACAAAGCAGATTGGTTTTCATGCAACCATTCATACACATCTTGTTTTATAATATTAAAATAACTTCAATGTAACTTTTCCACTTCCTCCTTTTAATTCACATTTCCATCCTCCATTTAATTCACATTCAGTGCTCCGTACTCCCTGCCGTCTAGGCTTGGTTCTTGGGCACATGCCCCTCTTTTGACCTTATTTGGTTCATTTTTCTAAGGAGTGAGTGCCTCTCTGGTATTCTTGGTCTGTTGCAGGCCTGTTTATTGTTTGGCTGCAGGTTGATCCACTGGTACAAATTTTGTTCCAATTTCAAAAGGTCATTCATTAGGCTGTAATCATGGGCATTATTCATATCAGATAGATGCATTATCAGAAGCTGTAATGGCCCCAGACTCCCTGACTTTCTGGAGTCTTTGGGAAGTACATCAGATAATGTGCTTAGCTGCTGATCAGTGATTGAAAACTTGAGTCTATCTACAGGCATTGCAGAAGAAATTCCTAACTGACGATCGCCAGTTCTGTTTTAATGTGATGGGGTTGTCATTGAGCAGATAGTATCTGCTTTTGTTTTTGTTGTTGTTTTAGACCTCTTCTTACAAAAGATATGTTTTTGTAATGATGCCACATTTCACTGTTAAACCAACATTTTAAAATCAATGTCACAAATATTTTTGTGCCCGTTTCTTGTTGTTAGGTGCCGTTGAGTTGACTAAAACTCATAATGATCCTATGAACAACAGCTCTGAGACTTGGTCTATGCTGTGCCAACCTAATCATCCCTGATATTGTTGAACTCATTGTTATAGTCACTGTATCAGTCCATCTCATTGAGTCTTCCCTTACTTGCTGACCTTTCTAAGCATGATGTTCCTTTCTAAGAACCAGCCCGTCCTATCAACATGCCCTAAATACTTGATACCAAGTTTCACTATCCTTGCCTCCAAAGAACACCCTAGTTATAATTTTTCTAAGACAGATTTGTTTGTTCTTTTGGCAGTCCATGGGATATTCAGAATCAAAAGAATCAGGCATTGATTCTTCTTCCATCAACCTTGTTCATTGTGCCTGCTTTAGTAGTACTTAAATAGACTCTTACTTGTAAGGAACTTAATGAGTTTATGACTAAGTGGGCTAAATGCAGAATATTTGTTTTAGGATACTTTCTTCTTAATAAATTATTATTTTAAATTCTTTTGTTTATTCATTTGACACCTATTTAAATGCCAAATTCTAGGTCTTTTCTTAGATGATAAAGATACAGCAAGAACCAAGATAAAAAAAGTTCTTCTATGTCTATATTTTCTCAGCTGAATGTAGCGTATCTAATATCGGCTGACTTGAATAACAAGTAAATTTATTAGCTCACATAAGAGGAAATCTAGAGATGGTTGGGCACCTGATTTGATTGACTAGATCTCAATAGTGTCATCAAATACTCAAGTTCTTTCCTTCTGTCTTCTCTGCATCTCCAGTCTTGGCTTCATCCTAAGGCTTGTTCTCCCAGATGTAGCCTGGTAGTCAGGAGCATGTGGAACAACATAGTCTTCATTCATATACAGAAAGGAAAAAGACTTGGCTTTCTATAACACCTAGGAGCCTCTAGCAAGCCTTGCCTCCATATTGATATGAAAACAGACACATAGGCCAGTGGAATAGAAGGGATGGGGGAATTGTATACCAATGAAGGAATTTTCTTTTCAAAGAGAGGAGCAAACTGGTGGGGAGGGGTGGGCAGGGAGAAAAGTGCAGCAATGAATGAATGAAAATCCAAAATCTCTGTAAATGTTTATTAAAATTAATAAAAAAGAAAAAAGGAATTAAAAGTTCAGAAATACATAACTGATTTTGCAAGATCCTAAATATACTCATTAGGGAAAGAAGAGGCTTTCAATAAATAGTATAGCGAAAATTGGATTTCACATGGAAATTAATGAAACAGGATACATGTCTCATGGCATGCAGAAAAACAAAATCTATTAAAGACTTAAATGTGAAAACGACTTTCTTAGAAAGTTGAAAAATGCAGGAGCAGGGCTGATGGGTTTGACTTTTAATAATGAGTTATTTAATACAATAAATGGGACCTCATGGCTAAGAAAATATTTTTGGAAACCATATATCTGATAAGAACTAATAATCCAAAAACAAAGCTTGAACCACCTAACAATAAAAAAGACATAGAACCCAATCATAAAATGGACAGAAGACTAAGCAGGTATTTCACTAGAGATAATGGTCAGATAATTTCCAAGCACATGAAAAGATTCTTGATATCATTAACCATCAGAGAGATGTAATTCAAAACGACAACCAGATATCCTTTCATCCCTAGTAAGTTGGTTAGATTTAAAAAAATAACTCAGAAAATGACAAATTTGGTGGATAAGAGGAAATTGGAATCTGTATCCATTCTAATGCAAAATGAGAGATACATGGTGGAAAACAGAGTTCTTCACTGTCATATTGTTGTTGTTGTTGTGTACTGTCAAATTGGGATTGACCCATAGATCACCCTTTGGTGGATTTACAAAGACAATTACACAAGAGGAGGTTGCACATCCTTCTTCATTTAGCTGGTGTTCTTGAGCTACATGACTTCAAAATTGCAGTGCAGCTTCTTGCCACTAGGCCACCAGTTGTTGTTGTTTAATGCCGTCGAGTTGTAGACGACTCATAGTGACCCTATGAACGAGCAGCCTGAGCACTGTTCGTACATAGAGTTTCCGGAGGCAAGCCATTTTGGAAGTGGATGCCGCTCCTGCTTCCAGGCTTGATTTAGTCGGGAAGCTCCAGCCAACACTGTCCACCATGGGTGCCCATTACCATGATTGGTACATCACTGTCACAGGCTTCAGCATCACAGCAACCACGAGTTACCTCTGTACAGCAACGCACAGACCAGTGCTATACCACCTAGAAGAATGTTTGACAGGAAGACAATTTGAACCTGGCCGAGGGCCACAGATGACAATCACCCACCTCCAGCTTGGTTGCACAGCTTCCTTCCACTAGGCCAACATAGCTCTCTCTTGGTCGTCGTCATTGTTATTGTTGTTTAATGCCGTCGAGTCGTAGACGACTTATAGTGACCCTATGAACGAGCAGCCTGAGCACTGTTCGTACATAGAGTTTCCGGAGGCAAGCCATTTTGGAAGTGGATGCCGCTCCTGCTTCCAGGCTTGATTTAGTCGGGAAGCTCCAGCCAACACTGTCCACCATGGGTGCCCATTACCATGATTGGTACATCACTGTCACAGGCTTCAGCATCACAGCAACCACGAGTTACCTCTGTACAGCAAATGGACAGACCAGTGTTATACCACTTGTTGTTATGTACCGTCAAGTCACTTGCTACCTAAAAATACAGAACAGAATTTTATATTCTCTGGAATCTGGTCTTTCTGGAGTTTTAGAGAGTAGATGATAGGTGGAAGGGAGATGCTGAAAGTATTGCCCTGAGGTAATCTTTAAACCGTAAACAAAAAGTATTCTCCCAAATCTGTTTTAAATCCAAACAGTGCTTTCTTGTTGTTCTTGTTGTTGTTGTTAGGTATTGTCAAGTTAAATATGACTCTTAGCGACACTATTAATAAGAAATACAAATCGTGTCCTAGCCTGTGCCATCCTCACAATCTCTCACACACTCAAGCCGATTGCTACAGTCATTGTCAATCTGCTTTCTTGAGGATCTTCCTCTCCTTCACCATCCTTCCATGTTCCCAAGCCTGATGTCCCTTTCTAAGGAATAATCTTTCCTAGTAACATGCCTAAAATATGGGAGAGGAAGCTTTGTTATCTTTGCCTCCAAGGAGCACTCTATCTTTTCCAGATAAAACCCCCTGTTCTTTAGTTAGTCTATGGGATATTCAACACTATTCTCCAAAAATATTTTCCTTGTGTATCATATTCTTTTAAGATCAAGCTATTTGGGACCAAATGGCAACTCAAAAGATTAGTTTAGAAACTTTAGAGGACAGTAAGTTTATTTTAATGGAGGGAGTAATACCCAGAATTTCACAACTAGAAGAATGTAATAAATGTCACTAATTGTACATGTAGAACTTTTAATTTGGAATATGTTTTGTATGTATGAACAATTAAAAGAAATTATTAAAAACAACAACACTTTTCTAGTTGTTGTTATTATGTACCATTGTGTTGGTATCAACCCAGAGCTGATCCTCCAGTGGACTTTTAGAGAGAGTAAATCTCACAAGAGATTGCCCATTTTTCTCCAGTGAAGCAGTTTGTGGATTTGAACCACATCCCTTTATATAGGCAGTGCAACTCCTTACCACTAGGCCACCAAAGCTCCCTCTTTGCCTAGGGAGACTATTTAGTAGGTGAAGAAAAAAAATAGTATTATGACTGCAACAGAACTCATGCTTGTGACACAACATGGAGCCAAATAATAGATCTGTAAGGTGAACAGTAACACTAGGTGGTACTTGTTGTTACGTCTCAAGTTGCCTGCGACTCAAAGCAACCCTGTGTACATTAGCTCTGAAACCTGCCCTATCCTGAGCATATCTCATTGTCTCTGACAGACTTAATCCCATTTCTGTAGTCACTGAGTCAGTCGATCTCATCCGGGGTCTTCCTCTCCTGCACTGTCCCTCCACCCTTCCAAGCATGATGTCCTTCTCCAAGGACTGGTCCCTCCTGACCATATGCCCAAAGTATGTGAGATGGAACCTCAAAATCCTTGTCTCTAGGGAGAAGCCCGGTTTCACTTTCTCCAGGAGAAACCTGTTTGTTCTCCTGACAGTTGGCAGTGTGTTCAACACTCTTCTCCAGCACCACAACTCAAAGGCATTGATCCTTCTTCTGTCATCTTTAGTTATTGTTCAGCTCTCTGATGAATAGTAATTAATTGTGAAGACCATGGCGTGGGTCAGGCACACCTTAGTCTCCAGACTGACATCATTGCTCTTCAGTACT